GCACATTCTTGTTTGACAGCTCATAATTCTAGAAAACATTGTTATGGTTTGTGTCTACATGTCCCCCTAAATCCTCATGCAGTCATGGGGTGGTATTCTAGTATTTGTGATTGATCCATGATCCATTGCTGGGATTATGGGTGTGAGTGCTACACCCACACTGGGGTGGGTAGTTTGCATACAATGTAAGGGAGGGAAAGACGTTTGCTACTGCTCCTGCTTTTTGCTCTTGTTGCTTTTGCTGTTTTCCACCGCCATGAACAGTTGCCCTCTGCCATGTGCCACCCTGCCTTGGAGCCAGCCAAGGATGGACTGAAACCTAGACAGATTGTGAGCTAAGTAAACCTTTCCTTCCTTAAATTTGGGCATTAGGTATCTTGTCTCAGCAATGAGAGAACAAGTAACCAAGACCAAATTTGATACCAAGAGTAGGGTCATTGCTGTGACTATACCTGACCATGTGGTTCAAGAGCCTTTGGAAATGGCTTGTGGGAAGTGTTTGGAAAGGTTCGAAGATGTCACCTGAAAGAGTGGAGCTGGAATGCCTTTGGCTGATCTGTATGGGACCAAGACAGACATGCCCATATGTAGAGCCAAACTTTAGGATTTCTGACTGCTGTGTGTATTTTACATTAAATATGGTCTTATGAAAAAAAGAAAACTCACAAAATTGGATAGAGCACTCATGTAGTGGTTCCATGGCCATTTCTGTACTTTTTTTCTCCTTAAAGTCTTCAGTTTTCAACCAAGTTTTCATCCACTATAAGACTGAGTCAGTCCCCTCAAAAGAATGCCATGAGGGTTAGGGCATAACCCAGTGGTAGAGCACCTGCCTAGCCTGCACTTTAGCCTGGACCTAAAGCATCAGTCAAAACAAAATGCTATCAAGATGTAAGAACCAGACTTTAGCTATTCTCTGAAAGCTAAATCCTTCTCTTGTAAAGTCATTGTGCCCCTCTCTTTAGGAAGGTGAGTTGTTTAATCAGCCAAGTATGATTTCTTTTGAAATTGGGCAGTGTTTGCTGAGGACTTATTATGTGCTGGCCCTAAGCTCTAGGGGCATTAAAGATAGCTAAGATGTGCACTGTCTCCGCTGGTGGCCTATAGTAGTGTGCAGTTAACCCCCTAACCACAAAAGCTGCCTGGTAACAGAAGGCTGCCCAGAGAGGTACAAAGAATGTGGGATGGCCTGGCCCTCACTGAGGGGAGCGAGGAGTCTAAGAAACATTTCCACAAGGTATCCCAAATAACAAGGGTCATGTGTGAGGTGCAGAAACCCTGGAAGTTGTAAACAGGACTTAGCAAAATCATCACAGCTCTCTAGGAAGCAAGTAATAGCAGGAAATGAATGTGTTTCCATATGGTAAGCCCTCTAGACATATGCTTTTGAAGAAGTTCTGAATGTCCTGATAGTAGTGTTACCTGTATTAGCGTTAACTAGAAGAACAAAATCAAGATGGGGTGTGTGTGTGTGTGTGTGTGTGTGTGTGTGTGTGTGTGTGTTTAGGGAAAGAGACATAGAGAAACAAACAGGTTTCTGATAAGGAATTGGCTCTCATGCCCGTGGAGGCTGAAAAGTCCCAAGCTCTGCAGTTGGCAAGCTGGAGAGTCGGGAGCACTGATTGTGTTGTTCCAGTCTGAGAGCTGGCAGACCCAGGACTCGAGAAGTGCCAGTGATTCAGTTGAGTCCAAAGTGAGGAAAACACTGATGTCCCAGCTTAACAGTCAGGCAGGAGGAATCTAGGCCTTCAGATGAAGCCCTCCTACTTCAGAAGGGACATCTGCTTTACTCACACTCAATCTACCAAGTGAAATGTTAATCTGATGCAAAACACTCTCCTGATAACACCGAAAATGACATTTAACCAAATACTTGGGCAATACATGACCCAAGCAAGTTGATACGTAAAATTAACTATCATAACTGCCTTAGTCTTTTAAGCATCCAGTGACATTTTGGCAGGCTAATTTCTAAATTGGAGGCTCTGTTTGACTCTTGTTTGTATGTTTTTCTGTTTTTGAAAGTCTCACAATACCAGATAAATTTCTGGCAAGGTTAAGTAATCTGTACCTGAAATATCTAGAACCAGAAGTGTTTTGGATTTTGTATTTTTTTTCAGATTTTGGAAAGTTTTTGTATATATAATGAGATATCTTGGGGCTAGGATCCAAGTCTGCATAAGGAATTCATTCATGTTTATATATTTACCTTATACATATATCTTGAAGATAATTTTACAGCACTTTTTGTGTACCTGCATAATAACTGCAACCCCTCATGTGAAATCATGTTGGTGCTAAGAAAGATTTGGATTTTGAAGCACTTTAGATTTTGGATATTCAGATTAGGGATGTTCAACATATACTACCACCACTTTTCTGTGATAGTTTATTAACAGTATTTTCAGAGTTGGTAAGTAACTCATCAATAAGATTCAGAATATATTGATACTCTCTGTTGGCTAAGTGCATGTACAAAAAGCCAATCTGCTTGGGTTTGAAGCCAAACCATGCCCACAAGCTCTGTGACTGGGAGCATCTGGCTTACCTTCTCTGTGCCTTTTTATCTTCATTTGTAAAATGCAAGTAAATAATAATTCCAAACTTGGGGCTGGGGATTTAGCTTAGTGGCACAGCGCCCGCCTGGCAAGCGTGAGGTTGTGAGTTCAATTCCCGGTACCGGAAAAAAACCCAACCCCCCCCCCTCCAAAAAAAAATTCCAAACTCTTGTTTGTTGAAAAGATTAAATCAGTTAATACATATCAGGTAATGCGTGCAAAGATAATGGTAGCGGGTACCACTATAATAAAAAATACAACGTTTACAGTCACATCCCTTTTACTGTAAAATGCTGTTTCAGCCTCTGCTCAATATTTCTCAAGTATTGGTTCTCAGGAAAAAGCCCTTAGCCAAAGCAGTAACATGAATGTACCCAATTAGCCTACACTTTGGATCAACTAAATCTAAAACTTCAGAGCCTTAGTTGGCTTGAGAACGACACCAGATTTAGAAAATGAGTTAGAGAAGATGAAATAGAAAGTAACACATTTATAGAATATGCACAGGCAGTGGAGTAGTTGATTTACTTTACTGCTTCTGTTCAGTTTAGTTTGTTATAGGCAAAGAATTTGCCCATATTTTAAATGGTTCTTTGGCATCTTAACATTAGAAACATTTGCAAACAAACTAGTGTACTCCAAGAGTGAGTGGGGATGGAGAAATGCACGATGGTGCTCATTGTCAGGGTGGGAGCTGTCAAGAGTAACACTCAGATATTGGAGCCAGGTTGTCTTTGGGTTGAAGCGCCCCTGACCAATGGACTAGTACCCCTGGATCAGTCACTGGAACTCAAGACTCTGAGCCTTTCAGCAAGGCACCTAAAATACCCAGCTCTTGATTTCTAGTTATGGTATTTCTGATTTGCATTAACAACCACATCATTCAATAAGTGAGTCCCTCTTGATTAGACAACTTGTTTGCACATTTATAGGGTGATATGTGAGGGAATCTTGTGTTTTTTCAGTTTAATCCAAAGAGTGTCTGAGTGTCTTTAGGAGCTCTTTACTTTCATAGCTATGTTTATTCAAGGCACCCACTCCTGCTGACCACAGTTTAGAGGTCTTCATACATCTTGAGTGTCTTTACTTAAGCCTAGCAGCTCACAGGCAATGGAATGTGATGTCTATAACACGTTGCTTTTTTTTTTTTTAACCTAAAACTATTTTTATGTTGTTTTTGAGATATATAAAATATATCCATATTACTGTGCACTTGTACCTCTGTGGATAACTGTTCTGTTTTGAAAACTGTTTTTCAGGTATGTGAATCCCAGTACTGTAATCCCAGTACTTTGGGAGGATGAGACAGGAGGGTTGCAAATTTGAGTCTTGCCTAGACCATTTAGGAAGAACCTAGCACAAATGCAAAATAAAAATTTCTGAGAAAATACCTTAGTGTGGAGACTCTAGGTTCAGTCCTCAGTATAGGAAAAGAAAAACCTAATTTGTTACATTTTCAGTTTCTCATGTCTGAAAAGTCATTGAACATATGTTCAGACCTAACTCTTCATGCATTTGCTTATTACCTTGGAAAAAATTATTCCTGTAACTGCAGAAGAATACTTTGTCCATTTATCATGTGACTAAAGACAGGGGAGGATTAAGTCTGAATGGAGTGATTACTGCTTTCAAAAACTGAAATTGTGAAAAGTATTTTGTTGTTATTATTGTTGTGTCTTGGAGAGTTTGATGGTGCTCCTGCAATTGGGCTGCCTCTGTGAATTTCCTCCTTCCCTCTTGTTCCTAACTTGCAAATTGGCAGGTGAATTTCTATGCATTTGTGATACTTACATTAATTCAGTGTCTTGGAAAATTTTCAAAAAGAAAACTTAATCACTGCGCCTGTGTGTTTGTTATTGTGATTCATTGTCATTCTCGTATCCATTCTTAGCCGGTGATAGTGGCACATGCTCTTTTCAAATATTACCATAAAGTGCATTTTTTTAAATCCAAAGACTATTATGGTGAAGCGAATTTCAGTCTATTATGAAAACTCTGAATTTCTTTTTTGAGAGCTAAACTCAGAATGCACTGAGCTGTGCCTTCTTGTATTTCCCATTTTTCTTTTCTTTCCGAAATGGTGCCATTCATTTAATACTTCATTACAACTGAACTGCAATATGTGTACATGGCGTGCAAAATGAGCCATTTTGTTTTAAAACAGATTGCAGATGAAAGGAAACCATTCATTTCTTGCTTGCTTGCTGTAATTACTAGAGCACTAATTACTCCAAATCACTGACATCCCGGGTCAGGAAGAATGACAACAGAAACATCAAAGAAAAGATGTGCCTCGCTTGCTGTGACAGATTTTTCATCTTCTCAGCCACAGTATATTTTATGGCTACTATTTTCCAGTTTGATGATGAAAAGACAGAAAGAAAAAAAGAAGAAAAACACACAGTCAAAATTGCTGAATGTTTACTATTATTTCATTCGCAGTTTGACGGTGAGAACATGTATATGAGCATGACAGAGCCGAGCCAGGACTATGTGCCAGCCAGCCAGGTGGGTTAATTAATCTTCTCTGCCTTGTTTCAAATTGTAATTAAACAAATTCAAAGAGTTGCATTGCAAATGAGTAGCACTATCAGTAACTGCTGCAATCAGGAATAATCATAATTTATAAACAAAGCATTTAAGCCTTGTTTCCAGTTAATGAGATGGAGCTGATAAAATACCAGAGTTGGCATTTGTTGAAAGATACTACCTTGTTTCCTCCCCAGAACGGCAAGCAGCTGTTTTGCCAGCATGATCTTTCCTAAACAGTTGTTTTACCTTTAGGAAATAAAGTCTTTACAGGTGCACATTATTTGTGCTTCTGATTGTAGATGAGTTAATCATTATAAGCTACACATGTCACAAATAGCTTTAATTATCTACTCTTAGGGCAGTTTTCAGCAAGATGTTTTGTTCATTGCTACTATCACACGGATGATGGGCACTGCAAGGCTGCTTTTAGGATCTTCTTGGGGGAGTTTGTGGGGGAATAGTTTCCAGGCCCCAAAGCAGATATGATTAAAACCTTTCAAGGGCACCTTTGTATCCTTTTCCCTGGGAGTGTTTGACAAGGTATTTAATCATGAGAAGTGACAACAAAAGTGCAATGAGAATGGAAATGGTTACATTTACAAAAGTAAATGCTTGCCTAGCTATTTTTAGATACTTAAGACCAGATCCTTTAATCCACAGAGGGCACTTAAAAGAAAATTATAAACTGCCCTAGGGTGCCAGTAAAACATAAAATATAAGAACATTGTAAGCAAAAATAAATAAGTGAATAAATGAGAGTGAAGGAGAGTTCACAAGAGCATTTCGTGGACGAAACACAAATCTCTGTTTTTCGAAAACACACAAATCACAGTACCTGGGAACTTCACTTTTCAGTCACTGTAGTGTGAACTCTAACGTAGCTTTCAGTGCCCATTTAATTTGTTCACATAGATTTGATAGCTGGAAGAGGAGTGGGCAAAAAAGGGGAGTAGTAAACTATTTTTCTTAATGGTAGCTGTCAAAGAATTAAATATGTTATATATATGTTAGGGTACGTTCCACGAACAAAATGCCGGGTGCTTAACTCAAAACAGGCAGACCTGCGTCTCCATGAGCTTGGCATGTATTTAGAAGTCATTATGACTACAGCCTTCTCTGGCAGACATCCTGGACACTCCACTCCACATTATTGCGTGGAAAAGGTCACCCCAAAGTGCAAAGATCCTGACTACATTTCTTTCCATTCAACTGAGTTGATCAGATAAGAATACCTTTGGAAGGTCAGGCTTTGCATTTGGAACTCATACTTAACTAAATTCATTCATCTAAGTAGCCTCCAAGAACCACAGGTAGTTCGGGATAGAACTGTTTGATTAAAAAATGAAAAATGTTACTATTAATTTTCTTCTAACCATCAATCCCAAAACTGTACTGACAAGTTTAGTATTACTATTAGATTAAAGCAAGCCGGTGCCATCTCTTTGGTGCCTTTAGGGTTTTAAAGTGTAAGGGCTAATTGAATTTGTTTGAAACAGTAGAAACACAAACTCAATAAATGATTATCGTTATAAAGCAGCTGCTCTCTTTCAGAGAATCATTATGTCCTTCTTAAAGAGTTTTGGCTAAAGGATTGGAAATTCAGAACATATGCATCGTAACAAGTTGGCTCCTTCGATTTCTAAATTCAAGTACAAAGTATAATGTTAAGCCCTTACTGAAATCACACAATGAGCATTATTTTTCTTAGTATTTTGATCAAGAGTTACTAAGCATGTTGCAAATACCAGTGATAATTTATGTAGAAGGAATAAAGAGCTCAAAATACTTTGGTGATCTTTAAAGATATTGCAGGTTTGTGAGCCAAAAGCAAACTGTTTTTTTTTTTAAATAATGCAGCATATGTATTTGAAAAGTTTTTTAGAATGAAGTATTTTAAAAATTAGTGTAATGTAAGATGGTGTATACCCTGGAGGAGAATGAACTTCACAAATTATGAAAGTTGAATGGCCCTCGCTAAATTTTACACTTAACATTTCTTTTGTTTACTGTAATATACTGTGTTGAAGAACTCATTACCTGGTACTCTTTTAGAAAATTTTAATCAATTTACCCCGTTAGGCAGCTATAAATAAGATTTTAGTCATACCATGGGGAAAAGTAGTTTTGTTCCTTTTTCCTATATAACATCAAACATCTGCATAGTTTAGTAATCCAAGATAACTTGCCTCATAACATCATTCAACAATTATAATTCCTGCTCAATTTTCAAATCAGTTCATGCTTTGGGACTTATAGACCAAGTTGCTAAGTAGCAACATATGGTGCACTACTGTTCCTGTGATGTTGCTGCAAGCATATAGCATAATTCTAAACTTGAAATGATTTTTATAGAAAGCCAGTGCTGGAACTGCTCCAGAAATGAAAATACACTGTAAAAATTAATGATATTCTTTTAGACAGTCCCATAGGGCTTTTTGGCTCTGTTTACTGCATGCATTCTGTACCTTTTAAGCTAGAGTATACAAATCCTTAAAATTTTTTGCATATAACTTTGTAATTGATAGGCAGCTTTAAAATGGAATATATCGGCCTTTAATAAGATTGACAAGTATGTAATAAAAACCCATAACATTTCCACGGCACTCTGGCGCCCTTCCTGGAATATTGACTGCTTTCTCCCGTGCTAACTAGAACTGTACTGGTCACTCAGTACTTTAAATTAAACACCATTTAACTTTTTTCTTTCTCTGGACAGCCGTTGAACAATACAGTGCAGAATTTCTTGGTGGATTTCCCAGCCCTGTCTAAAGAGACCATGTTGCTCTATATTTCATGAACTTGGAGGATCTTTCCCATGTCATTTATGGGATACTGTGAGTGGGCTAAGGACAGGAAAGCCAGAGAAAAAGAAAGACAGTGCTCTAATCCATACCCATGGCTCCTCCTTATTCCATTTTGACTGGTCATGCTTCAGATGCCCGTATGGAGACTAAAAATGTATAAAAAACAAACTATGAATGAACAAGTTTAGCGCACCAGTGTACAACAGAAGACTAATGTTACTAACGTATTTGCTACGAGTAGATTTTGGCTGCTGTTGCCACACAAACACACCAAAAATAGTAACCATGCGAGACCATGGGTGTGTTCATTTGCTTCCCTGAAGTAATCCTTTCACTATCCATATTATTTCATAACCTCTGGTTTTATGTCTTGGATATATACAGCAAAATTTATTTTTAAAAAATATATAACCCTGGTGTGCCAGAGAGCATGACAAGACTGAAGGGAACTGAGCTTCCCACCTGAGCTGCATTCCCACCAAAAGCTTCGCAGTCCACTCAGACACACATGCTTAGGGGAGCCCTCTCCCTAAACAATCGAAGACCTTTTCTCCAACCCCTGCAATCATTATACTGCTTTCTATAATTCCGTATAATGACTCTACCCTGGATATCAATGTCTATCTGGATTAGATGCATCAAAGGAATCAGAAGAGGAGTTTGGTTCTCTTCATTGGAAATTTCTATGGCACCAAGATTATTCAATTTTTACTTCTGTATATTTACCAGTGCTTTTCCTCATTCTTTCTCTTTCTGAGGCAGGTTCCAGAATATCGCCCTCTTCCTCTGCCGTGCATGTTTTACTTACCACTCACACCTGCTCCACTTTGCACAAGTTTCTGGACACAGCAACTCTGTTCTCTGGCTGCCTGCTTCAGGGGCGGCCCTGCCTAACAGTGCAGGGAAGGATGGCTCTTTTATATACAACAAATAATCCCTTGATGGAGGAATGAAAAGAGATTTCTGGTGTCAGGTGATGGAGAAGCTTAGGTTACTTGATTGCACCAGGGTTTTCAATAAATCACTTCCTCCCTAAACTTGGCCTTCACTGTGCTAAACTATTTCCTGCGTTTTGTTTTTTCTCCACCGCCTCCCCTGCTTGCTTGCTGAATTCCCTCTTACCTTCATGCTTTCTTTCCTTCCTTCCTCTTTTTTTCTGTGAATATTTTTCCTTTAAGTTTGAAAGAGTTTTTCTTGTTAATTCTGAGCATCACAGTAAAGGCTACTCAAATTTCTGACCTGAGGCCATATTTTAAGTTACTCTCGGTTTGTGATCAGTTTTCTTTCTGCTTTTCCCCACCTCCAAGCTCCACTGGAATTCTGAGTCTTACCCAGATTTTCAAACCTCAGGTTTAAAACATGGATAAACGCTATGGTTGGGGTGAATGCCCCCATCAAAGGTCTCTGTGTTAATGGCTTGCTCCACAGGGTGGCGCTACTTAGACGTGTGGATCTTTAGGCAGTGGGACCAGGTCCCTAGGTCACAGGGCATGTGCCCTGGACGGGGACTGAGGGACCCTGCCCGCTTCCTCTCTTTTGATTCTTGCCTGTGAGCTGAGCAGTTTGCTCTGCCAGATGCTCCCCACTTTTGCTATTGGACCCGCCTACAAGAGCCAAAAAGCAGTGGGTCTGTTTATTCAGGTTTCAGAACATCTAAACCCATGAACTAAAATGAACTTTTTCTAAGTTAGAGATCTCTCAGGTATTCTCTCATAGTAATGGGAAGCTAACGTAAGAAAATAAGGTAATGTTTATGTTTTTCTGTAATCTTGCGAGTAACATTTCACATACATTTCCTACAGTACATTTTGATTATAAAAGTTGAAATACATATGTACTCATATCTATATCTATATCATCATCTATGTGGATATCATCTATATCTATATCTATCTATATCTGTATCTATCTATCTGGGGGAGCACTCTCAAATGAATTTCAGGTTTGATTTCCAATTCCACTAAGCTTCTGTCCCTAACAACAGCTCAGATTCAACACATCTGTTCATTAAACTGCAATTCTTTGCCTCCAGCCTACTTCTTCACACCCCGAATTTGTTTTGCATGTATTCCCTTCAGTCATAACTGTTAGCACCACCCACCGCATCACCCAAGCTGGAGACATGGGGAGTCTCTCTTATCACTCAAATGTTAGCTAATCCAAGACAGCATA